GCTGCTAGCTTGTAGTTCTCAATGAATTACTAGGGTGCTGGTGAGCACTCCAGTAGTTCATTGATTCTTCCTGCCATTCAGTAGCTGCCTGCCCACACGAGGTACGGGCAGACAACTACACTCACAGTCTGCAGGAGCCTGAGATTGCACCCGTGATCTGCTGATTGCAAGTGCAATGCTTTACGGGTTCCTAAGAAAACAAAATAATAAATACACATTGTTTTACCTGCAAAATGGGCATTTATTATTTTATTTTTAGAAAGGTAAAGTTAGCCTTTAAAGTAGTTGCAAAGGCTGAATGAAGGTAAAAAACCTTCTCTGTGCAGCATCACCCCCCTAATACTCACCTAAGCCCCCTTTCGATTCAGCAATGTGCATTATAATCTCAGCTATCCTTAGACTCCTCCTTATTTCTGAGACAGAAGCAGGAGCCATTGGCTTCCGCTGTTGTCAATCACAGCCAGCCAATGAGGAGAGAGAGGGGGTGGGGCCAAGCTGTGGCTCCGTATGTGAATGGACACATGGAGCAACGGGTGCCCCCACAGCAAGCTGCTTGCTGTGGGGCACTCGACAGGAGGGAGGGGCCAGGAGAGCCTGCGGGGGACCTGAGAAGAGGAGGATCTGGGCTGCTCTGTGCAAAAACCATTACACAGAGCAGGTAAGTATAGACATATTTGTTATTTTCCTAAAAACAAAAAAAAATGAACCTTTTAGAATCACTTTAAAGTGATTGTAAAGACTTTTTTTTTTTTAAATAATAAACATGTCAGACTTACCCGCTCTGTGTAATGGTTTTGCACAGAGCAGCCCTGATCCTCCTCTACTCGGGTCCCCCAATGGCACTCCTGGCCCCTCCCTCCTGCCAAGTGACCCCACAGCAAGCAGCTTGCTGTGGAGGCACCTGAGCAGGCTCACTCCCAAGCCACTCTGCTCTATGTGTCCATTCTTGTGCACATCGCTGGATCGAGGTGGGGCTCAGGTAAGTGTTAAGTACTGGGGGGAGCGGAGGGGGGGCGCACACAGAAAGTTATTTTACTTTCATGCATGAAGGTAAAAATAAAAACCTTGACAACCTCTTTTACAGCCTCCCCTCTTATAGCCCTCATGGTGCAAGGACAGATAAATTGCAGCTGTCAGGTGTCTGGCATTTCTTTTTTCTGCCTCTGAAAGCAGCTCCAGGTTATCTAATGGGCATATCCACATTGTGTCATGTACAGGCATATATAAAGCAGCAAAAATACCCAAAAACCCCAAAACCTGCATTCAAAGAGAAGTTTTTCAGCGTAATTTATGCCATTATGCACCTAAACGCACACATAGCGCATACATGTATTACAGGGATTAGAATACATTCACATTCTAGCCAATAGAATGAGTTTATATTCATGTGCATGTAAATGTAATATGTGCGTAAAAATGCAAAAGTGCAACATTAGGGTTGTTTTTTTTTCCTGCCAACTTGGAGCGTTTATTCATACGGCCGTGTGCATGAGGGCTTAGTAAATCAAAGATGTAACGGAACTGGACCCGACTGCACTAGGGTATTTCCGTTAGCCTCCCGCTTCCCCGTCCGAACACAGATCCACGGACACCACCGCTGACCATACAAGACAAGACAGCACCAGACTTGTCCAAAAACAGGAAGTGGACTGCTTTATTTTAACACAGATTCAAGATATGTACACAGGGCGGGGCAATACATTTAGTAACAAGAGACACACAGCAGACACCCCCCACCAAGCCAATACACAAACACCTACATCCCATAATAGTTTGCTCCCAAGCCAGACACACAAGAGAACAATGGGACAACCACATGGCATTAAATAATGAACAACCCCACACACCCCCACCTAGACATGTCTATTCAATAGCAGGACATTTCACCCTGCACACCTAACAGGCACAGGGTGACTTACACATAATAGGGATATGGGGAGCTGAGACAGGGGTCTCCCCACCTCTCCAAAGGGGGCTGTGTTCCATGGGCACCCCACCCAAAGTCACTCCCGTCACACAAGATCCCATTGCAGCCACTATACAGGAGCTCCTCCTTCGCTAGAAGCCGATGATTCCACATTGTGGATCGGTCAGGGACTTTGCACCTTGAGCCATAAACTGAAGGAGAGTCAATGGGCCTCTGTGGTATTTATTATTTGCACACAAGCCTTGTGTTGTTTATTATGAGGAGGAAGCAATTTAGTATTTTAACACCCACACACACATTGCAGGTTTTTTTGTACGTAGGTGAACCTGTGTTTTGCAAATGAAGGGCGAAGCAGTGGGCTTACTTCAAAGGTACAGTCCACCTTTACCAAAAAACTAGGAGTAAATGTGGCAACGTTGATCTGGTGGTCACTGTGCATTGCACCAGGGACATTGCAGCAAGGACATTGCACCAGGGACCATCGTGTCGAGAGTGCAACGCACAGGCTCTTGTTTCCTTCAGCTCCAGATCTGTAGGGACCTTCTCTTTTGGGGCTGGGGGAGCCAGACTGCAATTCTGGTGAAATCAACGCAATGCTACTGGCGCTGTGTGGAGTCCCTCCACCATGGCGGCAGATGACACTTGTAGTGGTGTTGATAGATATTGGATGATGCGCTTGCGCTGGCTCCATCTGCACTGCTGTACCTGATACAAGAATGAGCAGGATTTGAGTGGAGGCCATTGTAGTGCCGCCAGTACAATGGGGGTCAGTGGGAAGGATGCTCATTACATGGTGGCCAGTGTAGTGCTCCTGGTACAATGGGGGGGGTCAGTGGGAAGAATACTTATTGCATGGTGGCCAGTGCAGTGCCCCCGGTACAATGGGGGGTCAGTGGGAAGAATGCTCATTACATGGTGGCCAGTGTAGTGCCCCCGGTACAATGGGGGGGTCAGTGGGAAGAAATGCTCAGTGGGAAGAATGCTCATTACATGGTGGCCAGTGTAGTGCTCCCGGTACAATGAGGGTCAGTGGGAAGGATGCTCATTACATGGTGGCCAGTGTAGTGCTCCCGGTACAATGGAGGGTCAGTGGGAAGGATGCTCATTACATGGTGGCCAGTGTAGTGCCCCAGGTACAATGAGGGTCAGTGGGAAGGATGCTCATTACATGGTGGCCAGTGTAGTTCTCCCGGTACAATGGGGGTCAGTGGGAAGAATGCTTATTACATGGTGGCCAATGTAGTGCCCCTAGTACAATGGGGGTCAGTGGGAAGAATGCTCATTACATGGTGGCCACTGTAGTGCTCCCGGTGCAATGAGGGGTCAATGGAAAGAGTGCTCATTACATGGTGGCCACTATAGTGCCCCCGGTACAATGGAGGTCAGTGGAAAGAATGCACATTATATGGTGGCCAGTGTAGTGCTCGCAGTACAATGGTGGTCACTGGGAAGAATGCTCATTACATGGTGGCCAGTGTAGTGCTCCAAATACAATGGGGGTCAGTAGGAAGAATGCTCATTACATGGTGGCCAGTGTAGTGCTCCCGGTACAATGGAGGGTCAGTGGGAAGGATGCTCATTACATGGTGGCCAGTGTAGTTCTCCCCAGGTACCGGTACAATGGGGGTCAGTGGGAAGAATGCTCATTACATGGTGGCCACTGTAGTGCTCCCGGTGCAATGAGGGGTCAATGGAAAGAGTGCTCATTACATGGTGGCCACTATAGTGCCCCCGGTACAATGGAGGTCAGTGGAAGGAATGCACATTATATGGTGGCCAGTGTAGTGCTCGCAGTACAATGGTGGTCACTGGGAAGAATGCTCATTACATGGTGGCCAGTGTAGTGCTCCAAATACAATGGGGGTCAGTAGGAAGAATGCTCATTACATGGTGGCCAGTGTAGTGCTCCTGGTACAATGGGAGTCAGTGGAAAGAGTGCTCATTATATGGTGGTCACTATAGTGCCCCCCGGTACAATGGGGGTCAGTGGGAAGAATGCACATTATATGGTGGCCAGTGTAGTGCCCCAGAATTCCATATTATGGAAGTAGAGCTAAGCCTTTCTTTACTTTCACAGCCCTTGTTCTAATTGGACAATATGTAAAAACAAAAACTGCATTTCAATGGTCAGAAGGTTTTATATTAAACAACTATCATCTAATTGGTATAATTACCTTAAAGAGGACCTGTCACTTTGCAGTGAAAAAAATGCTGCAAAGGAGGAGGGAGGGCACTTTGGGTATTTAGTTGGGAATGCTTTAGATAATTTTTGGAGCATGGCGTTTAAAAATCCCTGTCCTCTTTGCTAGGAGGTTAGGTTGGGGGAGAATTAGGTATGATGGATGCGAGTGTTCTGAAGATCTTGGTGGAGTATGGGAGCTACAAATGGAAAGCTGAGGGTCAGACTCATTACTCTGCTTCCCACCAGATTTTGTTACATCTCTTCCCTGATGCTTCACAAGTACCAGCTCACCTTAACCTAACCTCCTACCACTGCCTTGGAAACATCCATACATGGGGGGGTAGAAACCCTCTGTGTCCAAACTGATGTCATCAAGGTCTTTACGTTGATCCAAGAGGGCAATTTGCTTCATCTCCTCCAGATGTAGGTTGGGCCAGCCCTGATGAGAAGTGAAGGGAAGGGTTGTCAGCATTGACAATATGGACCCTCATCCTTAGCCGGATGATGAAACCCTATGTGGCTGTTGAGGGTGACAACGCTGCAAGAGAATTTACTGCAGTCTCTGCAGTGTTGCCAGCCCTTTGAAGGAATAGGAAGTCACTGGCAGGATCCCCAGGTATTTTTTCATGTTATTCTAATTGAACTTTTATTTTGATAAGTACAAGTTAGAGTTGTACTTTAAGCTGAATGAGATCTTTAAATGATAAAAATACCTTCATAGCGGGAAAAAAAAAAAATAAATTCAAATACAAAACCCCATCTGGCAGGATTTTCATCTACTTCAAAGTGACAGGTTCTCCTTCCGACCCTTAATTTGACACGGATCTAATCTTCTGTCATCCCCTCTTACTCTTTCCAGCATGCTGTCAGCTTGTGGAGGTTCTCCTGAACATGCTCATCCTGATCTCCTGCTCCGTATCCTACAACTCCACTGGGGGGTACACAGGCATAACTAACATGGGAGGAATCTACTATTACCAGTTCGGGGGGGCTTACAGTGGCTTTAGCGGTGCGGATGGAGATAAGGCCCAGAAATTGGACGTTGAGTTTTACAACTTGAAGCTGCCTACTGTCACAGCTTCCATGGCTTTTGGGGGAGCCCTCATGGCCTTCTGCTGCCTTCTTGTCCTGCTTGGGGTGCTGCGGGTTCCTTGGCGGTGGCCGGTATGGCTCTTGGTAGAATGTGTCTTGGATATCGCCATTGCTATAGGCTACATCCCCGCTCTGTATTTTTACTTCCAACGGCTACAGAATGCTTATAATTCCCAAGTGTGCAAGGACCGTGAGGCTCTCTATAGCAGTAAAGGTTACCAAGGCTTTACCTGTGCTTTCCATGCCGCTGACATTGCTGCTGCCCTCTTCGCTTGCATGGCCATCATTGTCTTCTTCATGAGCGCTTTCCTCGCCGTTAAGGGCTTCCGGACTGTCCGCCAAATGAAAAAGAAGCCAGTCACCACGCTTGAGTTTTAGTCTACATAATCTGCATATTGTAAATTAGGGCTGGACAAATCTACATGGAACTTAGGAGACAGCTGGGCCAGCCTAGTCATTGGTCAGGCTTAAATCACACCTGTAACCTTTATAGTTGAATATATCATGACAGCTCTTGGAGGTTCGGTTATAAGTAGAGTTAGGTGTTGGCATGAGGTTATGAGAAGTTAATAAGCAGTTAGAGGTTGCAGCGAGAAGACTAGAGAGGAAACCAAGTCACGTCACTTTTTCTCTCCACCATCTCTGTTCCTGTTGCATCTACATTTTCCATGACATCCTCCAAGAGTTGGAATTTGTTCCCTGGAGAAACCCATGAAATGGTGTTCAGGTCTTCGGAAACTCCTGCTAAAAATGATTATGTCTACAAGCTCATGGTGGTCAGTGAGAAAAGGCCCCCCATAAACTGGTGGTCATTGGGAAGAATGTTCATTACAATGGTGGTCACTGTAGTCCTCTCATACATAGGGGGTCAGTGGGACAAATGCACATTACAATGGAGGTCAGTGTAATGCCCTGTTACAATGGGGGGGCAGTGGGAAGAATGCTCTGTTATGCTGGTGGTCATTGGGAAGAATGCTTATTACAATGCTGGTCAGTGTAGTGTTCCCCTTATATTGGGGGTCAGGAGGAAAAATGCTCATGCCAGTGTAGTGCCCCCGTTCATTGGGGGTCAGTGGGAAGAATGCTTAGTACAATGGTGGTCAGTGTAGTGCCTCCTGTACATTGCGGGTCAATGGAAAGAATGCTCATTACAATGGTGGTCAATGTAGTGCCTCCCATACATTGGGTGCCAGTGGGAAGAATGGTCATTACAATTGTGGCCAGTGTAGTGCCTCCCATACATTGGGGGGTCAATGGAAAGAATGGTCATTACAATGGTGGCCAATGTAGTGCCTCCCTTACATTGGGTGCCAATGGGAAGAATGGTCATTACAATGGTGGTCAGCGTAGTGCATCCCGTACATTGGGGTGCCAGTGGGAAGAATGCTCATTGCCATGGTGGTCAGCGTAGTGCCTCCCGTATATTGGGTGCCAGTGGGAAAGAATGCTCATTGCCATGGTGGTCAGCGTAGTGCCTCCCATACATTGGGTGCCAGTGGTAAGAATGCTCATTACAATTGTAGCCAGTGTAATGCCCCCAGTACAATGGGGGTCAATTTGAAGAATTCGCATCACCATAGTGGCCATTGTAGCACCCTTGGTCAGTGGGAAAGTCCTCCTGTGGCGTGGGGCTGTGCCGATTGTTTGCTGCTTGTGTATGTCTAGGGGACTGAGTACAGCAGTGTTGCGTACCTTATCCTCAGCTCCAGCAGGCTGCTCTGTGCCGCTAGAATGGTCCCTGCAGCCTCTTATCCCTTGCACTCCAGCATTCTAAGGTTCTCTGACGCAGTCAAGGCTGATGCAGGGCCAATGGACATGGGATGGCCGAGTGGCAGTATACTACTGGAGCATAAGGGGAATGTTGTTCTCGAGTAGCGGAGGATCGGGTAAGTAAAAGTGTTTTCCCATCCCTTGGGCAGAAACAAGCAGTTGACCATGCTGGAGTTGGTGCAGCTCCCCTGCAATGGAGAACTTGCCATTTTTTGGGATTTGAACTTGACCAAAACATAAACCGGATAGACTTTGAGCACCGCTCCAAGCACTCTTCCCACAATTCCCCGGTGGCTCACATCAGTACAGGGTGCCAGCGCCAAGAGAGCCCGTCCCGGCTCTGTGCACGTACATTGGAATGAAGGAGATGGGATACAGCACCTCAAGGAAACAGCCCCCCGGTGTGGAGAAAAAATGAAAGTGGCTTCAGCCCGACTCCTCCCAGGCCCCACCCTCTGGGGACGAAACGCATCAGTGTGCAAGGCCTGGGAGGAGTTGGGCTGAAGCCACTTTCATTTTCTCCACACTGGGGGGGGCTGTTTCCTCACCCATCTCCTTGACAAAAACAAAGGACCACATCTACGTCCCCTAACCTTCCCTTTCACAGTTTTGTGGTTACTGGTGTGCTTTAAGGAGCCGCATGCTTTCACTGATCGCAACAAAAAGGTCCAAAAAAGTCAGCTGCTACCAGCAATTGTTCCAAAGCACTTGGACGTTTGGTTCTTAGGATTTGTCCAGCCCCGTTGTAAATAAATGTAAAATGATATTCCGGAGATCACAGCTCTGGGTTTTTTTTTTTTAGCATTTGTATTAAAGCAATAAAGATAATATTGTATCCAAAATGGAAAACTTGTTCACTGCTTTACATAGAAGGTTTAATGCTTTCATCCCAATGAGGAGCCCGGCGTACAATCCAGTAGAGTATGTTTAAGTCGTTGCAATGTGATTTCTTTTTTTTCTTTCTCACCTGCATTTTGGTCAACACCTTACATTGAGAAATGTGTAACGCCTTTGCTTCAGTTCTTTCTGCAGGAAAATCAAGCAAGTTTGCAAATTTAATCTCTCACTTTATTTCCTTGCTCTTGCTGTCCTTGGCTCGTCAGAGGTCTTGGTCGAATTTCATTCTGTTCATTGATAAGGTTGCCTCTGTGAATTTAGCAGGACTCATTTAGATTGCAAGCTTCCCAGCCGAGGGGGGGGGGGGGGGGGTCAGATACGACCAGCTAGTCCTTTTATCATAGAGACCAGAATTTGTGGGCTAAAGAACGTGTAGATGAGTGTTGGAGGGATTGGTGGGCAGGGTTGTGTGTGACGCATCTTCACATCTTCCAAGATCTGCTTTATATTTCTCAACATTCGGTTGCGTGACATTGCAGAGCCACAAAGGGAATCTGGAGTGGAAGACTTTCCTCTGCTGGATGCTGTAAGAAGGGGAACCGGATTATTATTTATTTATTTCAGGTACTTATATAGCGCCGTCAGTGTACGCTGCGCTTTACATATATATTGTACATTCACATCAGTCCCCGCCCCCGAGGGGCGTACAATCTAAGGTACCTAACTCACATTCATACATACACATACTACGGCCAATATAGACAGGAGCCAACTGACCTCCCAGCATGTCTACATTATACATTGTAATATCTATATTATTATTAGTATTTCAGGTACTTATATAGCGCCATCAATTTACGCAGCACTTTACATATATATTGTACATTCACATCAGTCCCCTAATCCCCTCAAGGGGCGTACAATCTAAGGTCCCTAACCCTCAAGGGGCGTACAATCTAAGGTCCCTAACCCTCAAGGGGCGTACAATCTAAGGTCCCTAACCCTCAAGGGCGCTACAATCTAAGGTCCCTAACTCACATTCATACATACACATACTAGGGTCAATTTAGAAAGGAGCCAATTTACCTCCCAGCAGAATCTTAAAAAGGCGAATTCCAGGTATTGATATTTTTACATAGTTACATTGATCCAGCTTTGACCAACAATATATACACAGTATCCCCCAGAAGTGAGTCCCCCCCCCCCCCCCACATTTCTGTAAATATTTGATTCTATCTTTCCATGTGACAACACTGAAGAAATGACACTTTGCTACAATGTGACGTAGTCAGTGTACAGCTTGTATAACATGTAATTTTGCTGTCCCCTCAAAATGATTCAACACACCGCCATTAATGTCTAAACCCCGTGCTGCAGCTCAGTTTCAGGGTCTTGACAATCTTCTTATAGCCTCGGCCATCTTTATGTAGAGCAAAAATTCTTTTTTTCAGATCCTCAGAGTTCTTTGCCATGAGGTGCCATGTTGAACTTCCAGTGACCAGTATGGGAGAGTGAGGGCGATCACACCAAATGTAACCCACCCGCTCCCCATTCATACCTGAGACCTTGTAACACTAACGAGTCACATGACACCGGGAGGGAAAATGGCTAATTGGGCCCAATTTGGACCTTGTCACTTAGGGGTGGAGTCACTTTTGTTGCCGGCGGTTTAGACATTAATGGCGGTGTGTTGAGTTATTTTGAGGGACAACAAATTTACATGTTATACAAGCTGTACACTGACTACGTCACATTGTAGCAAAGTGTCATTTCTTCAGTGTTGTCACATGAAAGAGAGAACCAAATATTGACACAAATGTGAGGGATGTGAGGGGGGGGGGGGGGGGGGGTGGTCTCACTTCTGAGAGATACTGCACCATACCTGTGGGATCCCTCTAGAATCTGGAAATCGCTGTAGTAGACGCTGCTACTACACCCCTACTCCAGTGATCTCCACTAGCTCCTTGGTCCTGTGCCAAGCAGCTGCCCTGCTGCATTTTGAAACCAGGAGATTGGCCACTTGGCACATGCGCCATTGCTTTGCATTTGCTCAATGAATGCAAAGTGTTCTTTGATTGGATGGGGTGGAGAGGCGGGGCAGTGACATCACACTCTTCACCTCATCCAATCAGAGAAGGCTTTGTTTTCATTGAGAAATTGCAAAGCATTCTCTGAATGGCCGATCTCCTGTGTGTGCAATGCCTCAGGACAATCCTGCTTGGCACAGGACCTGGAAGCTTGTGGAGATCACTGGAGTAGTGGTGTCTAAACCTTTCTAAACAAAGGGCCAGTTTACTGTCCTTCAGACTTTGAGAATTTGGGGGGGGCCGGACTGTGGGAGTAGAAAATGCCCCATCATTGGTATTAGTGGGAGGAATATTGCCCAATGTTGGTGTCATGGGAAGGAATAGAGCTCCATCATTGGTGTCAGTTGGAGGAATAGTGCCCATTGATGGTGTGATTGGCAGGAATAGTGCCCCATTGCTGGGGTCATTAGCAGGAATAGTGCCCCATTGTTGGGGTCACTCGCAGGAATAGTGCCCCATTGTTGGGGTCATTGGTAGGAAGAGTGCCCCATTGTTATCAGTGGGAGGAATAGTTCCCCTTTGTTGGTGTCTGTGGGAGGAATAGTTCTCCATTGTTAGGCATAGTGCTCCATTGATGGTGTAATTGGCAGGAATAGTGCCCTATTGTTGGTATCAGTGGGAGGAATAGTGCCCCATTGATGGTGTCATTGGCAGGAACAGTGCCTCATTGTTGGAATCATTGGC